GCCCCCCCCCGCCCAAGAAGCTGGTGCTGGCACTGCAATCTTGGGGGGTGAGGGAGGCTACAATGTGGAGCCCCAAGAAGGCAGCAGCCCGAGGCAGGCAGCGGTGATGGTGGTGGCTGTTTCCAGATGGGTTGTAACATGTTGGGGCCAAGGAACCAGGGTGCCCACCCAAGAAGAGGCCGGGAGGAACCCTGAGCCATGGCCACCACTTCTGACTCTGCAGAGGATGGGGAAGTGGGGTGATGCTGAGTGACATGATTACATCATTCTGTTGTTCTGCAGGAAAAAAAATTTATTTATATATATATTTCATACTTCCTTCAGTATGATTATATATCTTAGCTCTTACCTTTCTTAACACCAACTCTATTCCCTCATAAAAAGGGAAACCTCATCGGACAGCCAACGTAACTTAATATACTGGTCAAAGATTCTACAGTTGTGCATAAGACTCCCTGCTGATATAGCAGATCATATAAGAGAGAACACTATAGAAATGAAGTAATAAATGATGATCTATAAACCACAATCATAATTTATTATTCAATACTTAACAGTCAAGGAACAGATTATGATATAGTCCTATAATGTAGGCACAGCAAAAAATGAAAGGAAATTTATTTGTGAATTGTTCTTTGAGTCTTACCTGACCAGTGTCCAGTGGTAGTGCCTGCTCTGTCTGTGCATGTCTCACTTACAGGTCTAAAGACAGTCTCCCAACCACCAGTAGCATAACGCCAATTCTGAGATTCTAATATGAGTGTTCGTTGTGTTCCATATGCAATCATGAAGCAGTAGACAACATGATGAAGTTGACAGCCATAGCCACAGCCTTTGTTGATGTTGCACACAAGTTTCTTGGCTTTGCTGCAATCCTTGGGATTCTATAAGGATGAAGAAGTATACTTGAAGACAAGATATACACAAAGACATTTTTCTCTGAGTTAACAACTGACAAGTGTCATAAATCTCATACAAGACATGCCAATTTAGTACATCCCACATTAAAATGAAGGAGCAAGCTCCAGCTGCATGAAAATTATCTATTCTGAGCGGTTAACATGAATAGCTATCATATATACTTCACTACTCCAATGTAAAATAATAAACTTTAAGATATTAAATCATGTTTTCATTTCTAAGGCTATCAGAATAGGCTGCACTGGGTCTCAAAACACAGTGTAAGAATGCTCTTTCTTGATTTCCTCTGGCTCTTTACCAACTTTGTTAACACCCTTTCAATGAACATGTACGAATTATCTAAAAAGAAAAAAAATCAGTCTGTTCAGAGAATAAAACAAACATTTTATTAAGAGGCTATTTTCTAAACTAGCTTAGTACAAACCAAGTATAGAACATACTACACAGCTAAATAAAATGGTAAAAAGACAACATTTTGATCTGAATTGTATCATCAATAAGCATAAAATCCACATATTGAAATAGTCCAGCTCAGCACAAAAACATTATGCACTGAAGCTTGATAAAATAATTTTAAAACAATTTTCTGCACTTTTAAGACATTATATCTTACATTAACTACATTAAATATAGACAATTTCTTCCTATTGCTTGGCCAACCTTCTTTTTACTCGTGTTTCTAAATAAATCCACCAATTTATCCAAATTTATACTTAACACATTCTCTTCTCACATCACAAACAGGAATATATGGATGCATATACTTACATACACACAGAAAAACACAGTTGTTTTTCTTACACATACTAATTTTTCTGTTTTAATTAATGTTATGCTCATTGGCTAAGACTCAGCCCATGGAAAAATAAGTAGGTATAGTTCTCACTGTTATCAATGACAGTTGTCTTCCTTTTCACAGGAAGAGGACTGAACACAAATCTCAAGCTTCAACCATTCAAAAATAATAAAGTATAGAATAAGTGATTTTGCTAAAAAAGGAAGAAAAGTTTCCACTTATTATTGGGCATTGCAGCGGTTTTTTAACTGCTTCAGTAACTATATGAACAGAATACTTCAAACAAGTTACAGATGTATAAAGCCATAAATACTGTAGTTGAGTTTTAGTTACATTTACTTAATTTCTGAGGTATGCAGAAAAACATCAATTATATGGAGTTTTCAGCCAGCACTCATGTAACAACTAATTAAGTTGAATTATATAAAAATACCTAAACTCACAAAGCAGGTGGGATGTCTGTCAGCTGCTATTAAATAAAGTAACAGAAGTCATTAATGTAATAATTACAGATTATTAAACAGATGTGTCCTTTCCTGCTCCTTTCATTTTACTGTGGATGATTCGCTTGTTCTTTTGCTACTTACTGTCTTCCCTTCTTTATTTTCTGAATTTTACCCTTACTCTTCTGCTCTCCCACCCAGTTCCTTTTCTTATTTGAACATTTACTATATTAATGAAGTTTATTTAAGATGAATTAGAACCATATATTCCTCTATTTTTTGTTGTCGTGTTTTTTGTTTGTTTGTGTTTTCTTGTTTTACTTATACCTTTCTTATCTGTTCCAGGTTAATAGATGGCTTGCAGAATGTTGTTGGAGTTAGAGACAGATTTACTTTTTTTTTTTTTTTTTTTAAAGAAGAAGAAGAAGAGGGTGAAGGGGAATGAAAATTTCAAAATATAGTAAAATTCCCCTTCCTTCTTGAAAATCCAGCTTTCTAATACAAAAATACATAAAAAGAAGTTTATCCTGCAAAGTGTTAATAAGGGCTAGCCCTTGTATGCAAAAGCTTGGGTGAAAACTGAACTGAATTCTGAGATAAATTAAAACTATCAGGCATCAGAGTATTACTTATGTTTCTCTCCTGACAAATGCCCATATTTCATATAGGGACATTACATTTCAATTAATCAGCTAATTGAGTAGTCGATGGAATTTCCACTGACTACTCAATTAGTTGATATGGATGGGTGGGGCGCTTGCTATCCCCAGCTGTACCTCTGCCTTTTAAATGTAATAAGAGCCATCTGCACTCAAAAAATCCTTAGTGTCAGCTGGGGAAGGTGTCAAAAGTGCCACTGTTGAACCTCTCAACCGTCTAGTGTGTATAACAAGCCATCAAAATGTGATAAATTATCAAAACTTAGAACACTGGTGCTCTGTTGCATATTATAGCATGGGCAAAAATTACACTGCTTTTAATTATAAAACATGTTTTCAAAGATGTTACTTCATTGTGTGAATCAAATAAGCTAGCTTTGCCATCTGTAACAATTTAATTGGCATGGAGTAGGAGCATGGCCTGTTACAGATGGCAAAACTGGCTTATTTGATTCACACAGTAAGCAAACAGTTTTATAAATAGCTTTTATACTTCTAAAACATAATTTCTTGCTTATGGGTAGATATACAACAAAACACTAGGACCACATTTGGGACCAAGTCCTTGACCAGGCTGCTGGGAAGCTTGAAGAAGGTAGTTGTAGCCCATGTTTCTCACAGGATGCCAGAAGAAGAGTTCTCAAAGTTCAACCCAGGCTGTTTCTAATTTAAATCATACAGTTCTCCACCCCAACAGTTCATGTCATGCACACTATCCAATCTATGCCAGGCCCTTGCTTCCCATGCAAAATAAATACTGATACCCTCCCCTTCCCCCTCCCTCCCACCCCCACAACACACAATCTACCTACCCATAGTTAGTACAGGCCAGCTTTTCCATCATCCCCAATTAATGATGGCCACTTTCCCCTTTACTGCAGCCCTTCTGTCCCCCGAAGGTAGTGCTGACTGTTAATACTTTAAGGTTACTGATGATGATTCCCTCTCCTGTTACCCTCCCAGGAGGTTAGGTTATGAGTTGTCCAAGAGGAGCCAACAGTAGACTTTGGATTAGCAAGGTTCAAGTAAGGAGAGTGTTGAAAGGCCTTCTCAGAGCTGAATTTGCTCCATTCTTCCCACACAACTTTAGTTAATAATGGGAACCCAACAGCTACCTCCCATTAAACTCCTCCTCTATCTGAAAACTTTCAGTTCTTCTTGGCCAGTCCCTCTTACCACAAAGTCTTATTTTTGCTCCTTGGAAGGAAGCTGAGGGGGAGAAAGGAGCTCATGGATGCTGGAAGTCCATCTATTACTCTCCCAGCCAACAGAGTCAGTATTGCAAATCACCTGAACATGTATGCGGTTCAGTAGAACAGGGAGTCAGACCTGGCTCCAATGTACTACAGATGAATGCTTTGGCAAGCACCTACTCTACTCAAGGAAGGAATTTCACCTTGAGCACAATCACCTCATGAATGCAGAGGAGCTGCAAACTACTTCCCACAGTCTACAATCCCCTAATATTAAAACTAGTCTTGACTTATCTTTGGAGAAATGCCATGTAGGTTTGAGTTGCATTCATTTTTAAGGGGTTATTATGCTTATAGATTAGATTTTTATGCAGTGAACTACAAAAAGAAATATGGAACAGAGCCAACACTTCATTTAAAATTGTAGAAAACTTTCTCCAAGCTTATTAAATTTTCATATGCTCTTATATTTTTATAAGGGAAAATGTAGTGTATAGAAAATTATGTGATCTAATTCCAATATCACTCAAAAATATCATTTAAAAATGTGCTTGCCTGCTGTGATAGTCTCTTTTCTTCATTTGTTTTATTTTTAGGTAACCATTTTTTTTTATTTTGCCAAAAAGACTGTCTTTTTAATATGCTGAAACCCATTCACATGCCTAAGTTTCAGTTAAGGTGTTTTAGAGAGCGTGTAAATTCAGTAATCTGATACTGTTAAATTAATTCTGTACATAGAGTTTGAGAAGGTAGGTGAGGAACACAGAAAACACATGTTGTAAAATATTAGAAAAAGGGATGTGGTAAAAAATATCCATTTAAGAGGAAAAGACTAGCAGAAAATGCCAGGCTAAATGTACAGTGACAAAAATTTGAATTTGCTAGACAAAAATTTCCAGACAGTATTTCATGATTATTGAAATCTGCAGTAGTGAAACAGAAGAAAAAAATCCAGTGATTTCTATGTGATGTTGACAGTCTATTTAAAGGATGTACAATTCGTATATACTCGATCGTAAGCCTGTTTGTTCATAAACTGATCTCACCCGCAATGTTAATAAAATTGTAAACATTGCAATGACCCATTCATAAACCAACTGTATATGGGTGGTTTGCAAACTTTTAGTCCCAGCTCATCAGCATAAGCCACTGGCACATCAGATCATTTTACATACCCAGAGCGTCTGCAGGCATGGAGCCTCTCAGCTCCCACTGGCTGCTGTTTGCAATTCCTAGAGAACTGCAGGAAGGAAGACAGGCTAAGGGGCATCCTGGCCACCACTTCCCAACATTCCTGTTGACCCGGAATGGCAAACAGCAGCGATTGGGAGCTGAGGGGCTCTGTGCCTATAGATATTCCAGGTACATAAAATGTCCTGGCACGCCAACGGTTTGCCCTGCTGGGCCCACTGAAAGTTTGCCGACTACCGCAAGTTAAAAAAAAAAATTTGCTAAAATACAACGACCCATTCATAAGCCAAACTTTGCTCTACACTGCGTCACTCTTTACTAAAACAATTAGGCTTATGATCCCTAACTGAATTTTTCTTCCTTTGGGAAGAATGATATTATGGATAAGGCAGAAATTTCATCAGAACTTTTCTTCTGGCAGTTTGCTGACTCAGCTGAACATAAGAACGGCCATACTGGGTCAGACCAAAGGTTCATCTAGCCCAGTATCCTGTCTTATGACAGTGGTCAATGCCAGGTGACCAAGAGGCAATAAACAGAACAGATAATCATGAAGTGAACCTTTTTTCATCATCCATTTCGTGCTTCTGACAAGCAGAGGCCAGGGACACCATTCCTACCCATCCTTGTTAATAGCTATTGTTGGACCTATCCTCCATGAATTTATCTAGTTCTTTTTTTAACCCTGTTAAAGTCCAGGTCTTCACAACATCCTCTAGTAAGTAGTTCCACAGGTTGACAGTGCATTTTTCAGGGATACTAAGAAGAAAGTTTCTTCAGAGTACAATAAAAATAGAGAAAAAAGCAATTATTACAGAAGTATTAGAAAAATATGATTTCTATACTAGATATTTCAATTTGATTTCTATACTAGATGTTTCTAGACAATGTACAGGGACCTTAAAACTAAACACTGAAAATCAAGGATTGAAGTCAGGAAGAAATACAATAGCTGGTGAAGCATGTGTTAATCAGAGGAAGTAGAACTAGAACATGATCATATCTGTATTTAAATCTTTATGGTAGAAATCAAATATCTTTTTAATGAACACTTGGAAACTAAATAAGCTTAAGGAAAGACTATTACCATTTTAAATGAGAATGATGGTTCTACACCCTAGGTGTTTATGGTTCAATGAGGCCTGTTCTACACTAGGAATTTACACCAAATTTAGCTGCTAAGGTTGATTTTCTAAATGATGTGTTCACACTACCAAGCCTGTCTCTTAAACCTTCAGGGTCACTGAAGTCGATGTTGGATACTCCTGATTTCACAAGTAGTAATGCTATTCTTGACCTTGCCTGGTCGAGTTTATGGTAGCATAGATGCAGCGTTGGCCAAAGTTGAGGTTCTTGGCCTCTGGGAGGCATCCCCCCAGTGTACCATTCTGACCCCTCTGGCCAGAACTTGAGCCTTTACTGCTCTCCAGGTGAACAGGAAAAGCCCTGGGAAAGTTTGAATTTCATTTCCCATATAGCCAGCATTGCCAGCACACCTTGGGACAGGAAGCACACCTGAGCAGCACATGTGACCATAACTTCCAACACTTCAAGTCCCATAAGCTTTAGTTCCCAGAGGAATCCATTGTCTCCAAGCTCTGAACCAGCAAAAGAAATGCTGATATCTATGCAAAGATCTCAAAGGCAATAGAGGAGAAAGGATACACTAGGGACACCAAGCACTGAAGAATTAAAATAAAGGAACTGAGGCAGTCCTACCACAAAACAAAGGAGACAAATGAACTGTCTGGTGCATCACCATACACATACTGTTTCTATGATCAGCTGCGCATGGTTCTAGGGAGAGCCCAACCAGCTTCCTAAGCCTGACCACACAGTCTGGCCAAGACACTCCTGGCAGCAGCATGGAGGACAGCATGGTGGCAGAGGGAGGGTGAAAAGGAGGATGAGGACAAGGAGAATGGCCAGATGACATCTGCCAAGAGCCAAGAACTTTTTATCACGTTGGAGCCAGTCCCCGCCTCCCAGGATGTCTCCCAGTCCTGGGCAGGGTACTTCTGGTGAGTTCACAATTTTTTTTCTTACTACAAGCAGGTTAAGGCAATGGGGTGTGAAATGTGGGCACAATCTATGCCTACACAGCACGGGGGGCCTGGACCAACTTGTTAACGTATCTGGAGAGGAAGCGGGAATCCTCTCTGAACATCTCCATGAAGCTCTCAGATAGGAAATCTCACAAGGTTTCTGGGTAGGACAGCTTTAGTCCATCCTACACGGTAGGACACCTTTCCATGCCAAGCCACTAGTAAGTGGTCTGGCATCATTGAACTCCAAGGCCCAAGTTTATGGCCACATTCAGTTAGCAAATACTCCACATGACTCTGTGTGGTTCAGAGAAGACTGACATCTCACATGGCAACTTGGATGAAGGAGGAGGAGAAGCTATTAGCTGCCCTCCTGGCTTCAGGCTTCCCTGCAGGCATGACTGGACCCTTCCACCTGAACACAGCAGTCAGCTCTCTGCATATACCCTGGATCCATCAGCTGTCCACCTCGCACAGATCCGCACGTGAAAACAGACAGGGATGAGATGGGTATGTCTACACTACAGGTTTTTTTTTTTTTCCAGAAAAATGGCTTGTTTTCCAAAAAAACTTCAATTACGTCCACACTGCAATCACATTCTTCCAAAAGAAAATCGAAAGAATAGAGGGGATTTTCCGACATTGGTAATCCTCATTCTACGAGGAAGAAGCCTTTTTCTGAAAGCTCTTTCGGAAAAAGGTGTGTGTGGACAGGGCAAGGGAGTTCTTTTTAAAGAAAAGGAAAGAGGAAAAAGCACAGGTGCCTTGCTGGCCACTCTGCCCATAGCAATCACAGCTGAAGTGCGAGATAGTGTACATTCAGTATGGACGCTCTTTTTTGAAAAAGCAGATCACCTTTTCAATGAACGTTTGCAGTGTAGACGCTCTCTTTCAGTAGAAGTTTTTTCTCCTCTGGAAAAGTTTCTTCCGAAAGAAGCCTTCATTCTAGACATAGCCTGTGTTTAAGGAGATGCAGGCAGAGAGGCAGGACAGAAAAGTACAGGGAAGTACAAGCAAAGGACCAAGAGGAAAATCTTGGCAACGATGGAGTAACTGGCAGTGTGTCTGGAGAACCACCTCTCCTAGGACTCCCTCGACTCTATACAAAATCACTCTCTCTCCCCCAGTTCCATAGCATCCATCCTCAGGTGTCAAGGACAAAGGAGAGGAGAACTCAAGGGCAGCCTCATACTCAACCTCCAGGGTCTCGGGAGGTAAAAGGTTGTTCTCCTCATGTTTTTGAATCTTCCCCCTTTGGATTCCTGCCATGGACTTCTTTTCTTTTCCTACTGTCTTCCTTAAATAAAAAGTCATGATCACTAAAAAATGGTCTCTTTATTGCTTGTACTGCAGGGATGGTGCGCAGGATTACAGACAAACAGTAAATACAGGGACCCCTTGTTGAGTCTCAAAACTGGCCACTCATAAAACTATCTTTCCAAGTGCTGCCCCATGCTGTGCTTTCCTTATCACCCTGGTGTTTGGCTGCTCAAAGTCTTTGGCTAGGCACTCTGCTTCAGCCCCCCACCCAGCCAAATAACTTTTCCCCTCTGCTCTCGCAAAGATCACAAAGCATACAACATATTGCCACCACAAAAAGAATGTTGTGTTCGCTGAGGTCCAACCTAGCCAGGAGACTCCTAAACCTTCCCTTTAAATGTCCAAAAGCACATTCGACCACCATTCTGCAATTGCTTAGCCTGTAGTTGAACCACTCCTTTCTGGAGTCCAAGCTGCCCATGTATGGCTTCATGAGCCATGGGAGCAAGGGATAGGTGGGGTCACCTACGATCACTATTGGCATTTCCACCTCTCTGATTCTGATTTTCCTGTTTGGGAAAAAAGTTCCAGAGTTTACCTTTCCCAACCATCCCACACTGATGTCAGTGAAATGTCCCTTGTGAACCACCAACACCTGCAACACAGTGGAGAAGCTCCCCTTATGGACTCCTTAGCAAGGTGGTCAGGGGCCAAGATGGGAATGTGTGTTCTGTCTATCACCCTACCACAGTTAGGAACCAGACTGCAGCAAGGCAATCCACCATGGTATCCATTCCCAGAATCACAACCCTCCATAGCAGAATGGTATTGATCACCTTGGCTATTTGTATAACAGCCCCCACTATAGATTTCCCCACTCCGAACTGATTTTCAACTGACTGATAGATGTCTGGCATTGCAAGCTTCCACAGGACTTTGCCACAAATGTCTCCATGGTCATGGAGGGTCGCATTCTGGTATTCTTGAGTTTCAGGACAGGGAAAAGCCATTTGTAAAGTTTCAAGAAAGTGGCCTTGCACATTCGGAAGTTTTGCAGCCATTGCTGATCATTCTATATCTCATCACAAAGCTCTCTCACCAGTCTGTATTTGTCTCATGGCACAGAACTGGCATTCCATTGTGTCAATAGAATCAAACACCAGCTGCAGTTCCATTTTGCTCAATGCAAGGGCTTGCCTGCACAGCGTAGGACCCCCATACGGAGAATATTCCTTCTCGTCTTCTTCCTGGAGTGTCGTGCTATTGCTCTCAAAGTAATGCACCGTTAGGCACACCAAGAGATATCACTATCACAATGGTTTGATGTGGATCCATGCTTGCGCTGCTATGGCATCTGGCTGGGAAACCAGGGCCAAAAAGAGTGCAAAAAGACTGTTTCTCAATCAAGGGGAAGGGAGAATATGAGTGCATTATGGGACGTTGATGACATGAACCTATAACCACCTGCTGCAATTTTGGTCTCAGTGTGCATGGGGCGCATAACCCAGAATGCAAAGCAGCGCAGGCACTGTGGAATAACTACCTACAGGTCACCGCTCTCAAAGTTGATAGTAGTCTCCCATTGAGTTCTTTCCCGCAGCGGGGACACAGCCTTTCAACTCTGCAAAATTGGTAAGAAATTGAACATAATGGATTTGGCCTCGTCTTGTAGTTTTGACATGGCCTGAGTAACACTGTAATTATGTTCTTTATGTAAAGTATTTTCTCTCTCACTTTGTAAAAACACTGATGAACTGAAGAATGTGTCTGTGGGAGAACTCCCAAAAGATATGGCCACTTTTTGTAATATACCAAAGCACAAGCTATTTTTAGCTTTTGCAGACTTATGGCATCTGAATGGAAAGGCAAAGTTTAGTCTCCTAGAAATCATAGATTCTGCAAAAAAACAAACACCCAAAACATGTGTGAAAAGACTACATTATCACACCATTATATTTAAAAAACATCAGTTAAATCTTTGTATATTGTTGACTTAGTGTTTGAAAATACCACTTCACTGTACACAAAAATGCAAATGATATTACACCATAAATCCTCTCATAGCACTGTCTACAGCATTTACACCTTCATTTAAAGTATTTGAATGTTTTTACTAGACTGGCATATTTTAGATTTTTTTCAACAAAACACATTTTCAAATTTTCCTTTTGTTTTAAGTGCCCTTCTTACCTGAAGGTATGTTATTCTCCTCTGTACCAACTCTGTCAGATCTTTGGCCTCTTTCTCTCGCCAATCACCTGCTCCATCTGTTTGACTGAGGTAGTACAGATCTGTCATTATCGACCTATAAAAAAGGCAAGCAATAGTAGATATCTAACTTAATACTACTAAATTAAGTGATTAGGCAAAAACCAAGATGACAAATAGGCCTTTAAATAGGCTTTCTGATTACATGGGTCCATATGCACTATACAACACTAAATTAATCTGACTGTTCATACACCATGGAATCAGTGCAGATTGCCTTTTTCTGCATGTATACCCCAACACAAACAGCAGCAGCAAAATGTGTAATTCTGTGTCTTCATTTTACCATGTTTCTACAACCATATGTAACTGCAGAATTAAATGGCTCTGGGGTGGAAAAGATCTTAAGATCACTAATCCAAACTTTTACATTTGTGCTGAAAATAACCCCAACAGCATTAATTCCAAGACAGATCTTAAATTCATTGGACAAGGAAGAGACAGTCCAGGGGTGACTCCTAAAGTGCATTTCTGACATTATGTTGCCATGCTATCAAAGATCAGCTTACTGGAGACCACCCAGGGTTACGCTAGCATGGGTTTATTGATAAACTAAAGAAGATAGAGCTGCCACCACAGGTTTAAACTAAAGAGGGAACCAACTATCTCTCTCACACACAAACAAGCGCACACACACTTTCACTCATTCGCTCATTCACACACATTCATTCCTGCCCTCAGGCACTCACACAGGCATACGGGTTGCAGAAGGAGCCATGGCATGATGGTTCTGGAGGGTCTGTCTGCTTATCATGGCTGGGGAGCTGCTCAGGAAAGAAACTGGCTATAGAAAGGGGAGCTTCTCAAAAAGAGGGAAAAAGGGGCCTTCTCCCAAGTGCTCTCTTCTTTTATTGTCTCAGTATAGCTCCTGTGACTCATCCACCTTTGTCACCAGAGAGCATGCCCAGACTTCCTTTGGTCCAGCAGAGCAGCATTCTGACGACTCATCACCATGTGCACATCTCTCTCTCTCTCTCTCTCCTCTCCCTCCCCCCCCCCCCCCCCCACAGTGGCTGAGAGTTACAAAGTTGCAGCTTACAATAAGTTTCAGAACCTGTAAAGCAAAGTTGCTGAAAGTTACAAAGTTGCAAGGTTTAATAAAGATTACAAGTTGCAAAGTTTAAAAGGGAATGCAGTTACAAAGCTTCACAGAATCATTTCCAAATCAACAGTAATGAAGTAACTTAGAAGACAATTCCCTCCCCACCCCCACCCCCAAGCAATGCAGTCAGCAGGAGGATTTTGTCAGTCAAGTCATGTGTTGGCAGGACCTTACAGTTTAGTGCCGTGGTCACCAACAGGTCAATCACGATCTACTGGCCGACCGTGAGACCTCGACCAGTCGATCGCGAGGCGTCCTGTCCGCCCCGCCCCCATTTCCCTCTCACCCCCGAGAAGCCCCACTACCTACCTCAAGTGAAAATGGAGGTAGTGTCGGCTTCCCAGGGATGGACAGAAGTCCCGCAGCTTAGTGCCACTTCAGACAATTCCAGAACTGGATTACAAGGGAATTA